GTAATAACTCCTAATACCTTAGCAGAGACTATTCTGTATGCACACGCCACCCTCAATAGATTCGTCATATCTGCTCAGGTGAGCTACTTTTTGTTACTTTGGTAAAACAGCAGTACTCAAGACAGGCGCAGCATAGAAGACGATCGCTTGCACAATATAATGAAGGGGCCTCCTCTTCTCAGTTTTGGGCCCTCTGATGTTAGGCATGATCCCCCCAACGCGGCGAATCTAACCGCAGCTCTTTGAGTTACCACTTTAAGGTGCTCCCCTACTTTCCGTTTTGACTCAGAGTCACCCCCAAATACCTCACACATTTCTTTGGAACCACTCTCTTTCCTACACATTCAAATGTTATCCCGTCCCTTTTCCTTGGTCCCTTAAAACTTATAGCCTCGGTCTTACCCGCAGCCAGTTCCAGCTCATGCATTTTCATCCATTCCTCGACTTGGTTGCATGTACGCTGTGCACCGAAGATAACTTCCTCCCTATCCGGTGCCACTACCAGCATAGCGAGGTCGTCCGCAAATGCGAAAGGGGTGGTTGGCTCACAACCCCATCATATGCCAAGTTCCGCAGTCCTAGAAACGACTTATACGGCACTTCTGTTGTCACGTCAACCACTACTCCTTTTTCTGCACAATTTTCCTCTATTTTTTACCACAAATACTCGAAGTAAAAATTCATCAAGTACCTCGGACACCTTCTTTCTACAACCTTTATTACCCCTTTCCATTTTAATGTGCCGAAAGCATTCAGGACGTCAAACAACAGTAGGATTGTCCACCTCTGGTTAACCCCCACCCCGCGTAACTCCCGGAAGACTCTCATCAGCGTATCCACCGTGCTCCTGTTTTTTCTGAAACCGTTCTGCCTGGGTGACAGCCTGCCTTCAATCACTGTGTCTATTTGCCCTCTTAAGAGCCTCTCGTATAATTTACCCATGCACAATACAAGGCGAAAAGGTCGATATTTGTCTTCCGCCTTAGCACAAGAGTAGCACGAGCCTCGAGATCTTCCAATTTGCCGGAAATCGTTGAGCAAGCAGCACATTCATGTGTTCCAAAGGCCACGTCGGCTTCATACTGCCAATGCGTATCACCGCATCTGGTAGTATTTCATCGAGTCCCGGAGCCTTTCGTGTCTTTGGGGCACTCAACGCTTCGTTGATTTCGTCTACGGTAAAAGGTACAGCTCGCTTATCTTTGGCGTCCCACTGCACTTCATGCCTATGACCGGGTGGAAACAGCTCTCGGGTAACCTCAAGCTTCCTGTCCAGTGGTATCGCATACAGAGGGTACAGCTTGAACTGGTTCATTACAATTTTGTACCCCTGACTCAAACGTACTCATCCAACTTTTCACACAGTTCTCTTCAGTGCCTCTTCTTCTTGGCCCGGATCTTCCTGTTCAGTTCCTTCTTTCGAGCATTGTATACCATATCTATTCTGCTGGTTTCTTTACTGCTATTACTTTTCCTCTACCTCTTGCCCTTGTAACCTGTCATTAGCCTCGTATTTTTTTGATGGCAATGCATTCCTTCATCTTACTGGCGATCTCTTCGCACCACCAATAAGGCATTTTCTTTTTCATCTACCCGTTTATGTAATTTTTCGTAGTCTCTCTTATTGTTGATTCGAGTCCTTCTTTAACTTATTTTTGTATAATATATTACACCGCAAACACAATTATAAAAAGTATTTATTGCAATACTTACACAAATATGATGTACGGATTTGTCATTTTTTAAACTGCTAATAAGCAAATTCACCACTACAAATTATATTTCTGAAAACAATTCAATGCACATCGCATTGTTTGAGCCTCGCCTTGAGCCGAGGTTAAAATTATCATAGTGTTGCCAAGTCTTGTGTGTGATCATAATCACGCTAGGCGCTAATGGGCTAAATATTAGTGACTGCTTATTTTCGAATCAGTATATAAAGTTACATGCACATAATGGTATTACTGTAATCCTTATTCCTAAACTACTTTATTTTATTTCTTTAAATTTATATGTCAAAAAATCGAAATAATTACGTACACAGGTTAGACTATGTAATATTTATTTCGAAAAAATATTAACAGTTTCTTTTTATTTTCCAGGCAAGGATTGCTGAGAAGATCGTGTGTTATATTTATTTTTTTAATACTGTTTTCTATAAGCAGTATTATCTACATTAATATGCCTAATACATTATGGAGTATTTGCCAGTTTAGTGCTTCAAATATTGTAATGGTAAGTTAACACTGTACGAAAATAGGAAGGGGGGGAAAAAGAGGGAAATTCAAACAAATTCTTTATAAAAGCTGCAAAAATTATGATCGAAAAGAACTTTAATATATCTTTTTTTTATTTTTAGGGTTTAGTTATTATGGTATGTTATATTTTAAAATCAGAAACAAGTTTAAATGAAATGTTTGAAAAGAAGAAAACCAACGAAAATACCTTTTTCAGTTACAATTCTTCAAATAGTTCTCCCCTGAAATGTAAGTATATTATATACACTACCGAGCATAAAATTAGGGACCCCGTAATTTGAATTTATTTTAGAAATTATTATTCTGTTTTAACTATTTTCGGTTGTAACATAGTTTACTAATGGATTTCTTGAAAAAAAAAATTGTTGCTGATTTATCTTCTCAAACTAGAGTAACTGGACCACCACTTTCCCGTAAACACCGAATTGCCAGATTGAATTTTGCACGAGAGCACTTGGCTTGGACAATGCAGGATTGAAGTCGTGTATTGTTTTCCGATGAATCGAGATTCTGTCTTACGGGCTCAGACAAACATGTAAGAGTGTGGCGACGTCCAGGTAAGAGATATGCTCAAGCATGTGTTGCCGAACGTCTTCCATTTAGTGGAGGCTCAGTTATGGCATGGGGAGGCATATCGTTTGATGCGTGCACGGAGTTAGTCTTTATCGAGAATGGGACATTGACAGCGTCTAGGTGCCAGACAGATTCTGGAAGACAATGTTTTACCGTTTATGGGTATTCTTGGAGACGATGCAATATTTATGCATGATATTACACGGTCCCACACTGCTAGGATAGTTACTCAGTATCTTGACGAGGTTCAAATTACATGATGTCTTTGACCTGCTCGCAGTCCAGATATCAATCCCATAGAACATGTTTGGGATGAGATGAAGAGACGTTTAGTGAGTCATGTGCCAGCCCCCAGAAAGTCGAGAGAGCTTCGTGACATATTGGTGCAAGAATGGAATAATCTTACGCAGAATGTGATCCAAAATCTGATCTAAAGCATGCCTCGTGATTTGCAAGCTGTTTTCACTGCCAGAGGAGGGAATACTCGCTACTGAAGTTCTTAATTTTTTTTTTTCAACAAAAAGCACATTAAATTAAAATTGTCCCTTTTCAATATTTAGTATATCAAAGGAAAATTCTTTATTTCCAATATTTTTTAATAAATTTTAAACGACAAAAGGTTGTTTTCTTTAAGCACTCCGTTAGTAAATTATGTTACAACCGAAAATAGTTCAACCGAAACAGAATAATAATTTCTAAAATAAATTCAAATAACGGGGTGACCCCAATTTTATGCTCGGTAGTATAGGTAATGGATTTTGACAAGAGCTATGTTCTTGTATATAACAAAATCCATTACCTCTACCAATTTTAGTATATTTCAATATCATGATTTAGAGCTTCTAAGTAAATTATCTACACTGTTCAACAACTTAAGTGGATATTAAAAAAATATTAAGGTTATGTGTGTCAAAGTTTAAAATAAATAAAAGTTAAGTATAGGTCGCAGAAATATCTGAAGCCGCCAAGGTCAAACCGAAGAAGAACTTTGGTTAAGCAACGTTGTCAGATCAATCGGATTTCAAAGGTTTATACGCTTTTATTTACATTTGTATTAATATTTAAAATATTAATACAAATAGAGGTAGTAATAGGCATATAATAAAGATGCCTATTACTACCTCTACAGATGCCAGTGCTAGCCGAAATTTCTAAAGTATCTTCAAAATCTAGCTTTTCTTCTGTGTCACTTTCATAGTGTAATGTTTCATAGATGTAGTCTTCTTCGTCAGAAAAGCCTTTCTCTTCTAAATCATCATCGGCTTCTACTTCATCAAACAACGTGTGTAGTCTAGCTATTTATGCTAAATAAGAATCCATTTTTAAAACGATTTACTACCTAAAATAATAAAAATTTGTCTCAACAGAAGTTACAGTAATAGTTTGAGTTAAAGTACCGCTTCTCGATTTTTTAACTGCAAAGTTCGGGTAGTGTCTCGTGGACAAAAATGCACTGCACAAACTCATGCACTTGTTACTTAGAATCAAACTGCGACCTGGTGCATACGCTACTACGCTGTAATTCATGTAGCTACTCAAGCGTCCGTGCGGTAGTACTAACGGGTCTATTTGCAAATTATAAAAGTTATGATTGGCTTGTCTCACAGGACATGCACCCGTGCCGCGAAGGGTTAAAAGAATTATGAGCAGAAAACCGTCATATCCTTTACTATAACATCTTTTTAAAAATTTAAATTGCAAAATTATTTTGCAAAAACTACTTAATCAATTGTGCTGAAATTTTATCTCTTTGATAAATTTTAAAGGTTGTATGTGGCTTAAATATCTGAAAAAGATCATTGAAAAAACATTGATTTTTGACCCATTTTTTATGATTTTTGGTAACTTTGCAATTTTAATTATCTTTTTTTAATTTGAATTAATATTATCTTGTATAAAAATTAATTATCAAACATTTTCTCTTCAAAATTTTTTATAATAATTTTGTTAACAAATTGTTTAATAAAAAATTTACCCCACTTTTTAAAGTGCCAATTAGTAAAATTATTATTCATAATATTTCAAAGCGATAAACTCAAAACAAATACCGCCTGGTGTAAAGATCTTAACCTAAAAATATTTCTTTTGTAGATAATAATCTGCTTTGTAGGTATAAAAACTTAACGCCTGTCGTAAAAGATTTATATTTTAATTAAAATCATGTTCCAGTTATAACTAGACAAGATCCAGAAGTAGAGAACGATTCCACGCCCCATATGAAACCCGAGCAGTTTACGATGGTTAATCGTGATTCCACTAAACCCTCCATCGTTGGAAAATCTCAAAGTATTGCCGCAACGTTTGAGAGCTGCCTCCACAACATGCCAAACTGCGACAGTCGATTGGATGTCGCTGCCACGTCACAGAGGTATAAACAGCAAGCGTCTTTGGAGTATTATAACTCCAGTCCCCAGAGTTTCAGAAAGTATTCCGGAGGTATGTTACACTGGTTTTGCTCTGGTTCATTATATTTTTATATTAAAAAGAGAGATTGAATTGCAAAAATGGACTGCTGCTGGAAAAAACCGGAAACTTGCATTTTTATGATTGTTAAATATATAGCGGTCGAAGTTTTAAAGATTTTTTTTTGTTTTTAAATGGCCTAGGCAAATGCCATACAGCCAGTCGCAACATGAAAATATTCTACCTAGAAAGAAAATTGCGTAGTACAATATAGAAAGATAATATAAAATTCAAACTTAAGTAGCCTTACAAATTTTAAGCATTAAAATTATTATTAAGGATTGGATAGGGATAAAACATGGACACTCGTTTCTCGTCTAGGGACCCATCAAGACATTGCTTTTAAGACAAACTAGATTAGGTCACGGATAAAAAGTAATAACAAATGGGGTAAAACAGAGGTTTGGATTCTAATTACAGTTCAATATTAAGCTTACTTTTGCAAATAAATTCCATCAAACATTCATTTACAACTCTTATATTTAGAGATAGCAGATAGCACATATTGTACGAATGTAAAAATTTTGATGTTGACTAAATTTTTTATTAGATCTTCAGTTTGTTTTGTATATTTTTACATTCGAAGAAAATGTGATTTAGATCACCTTCTTTTTGACAGTCTGGACATAAGTTTGAATTTACGATTTTTAGTTTGAACACATGACTAGGATAGCAGGCGTGTCCAAATTTTATTCTAATTATGAATGTTATAAACCTTCGTGGAACAGAATAATTTTTGAACCAATAATCACTTGGGATTGAAGGCTCTATAGAAGCATATTGCGAGGAAGAATGCGTACTATATACGTGCCAAGATTGTTTTCATTTACTATTGATATTATTTTTAATTATTGTTAATGCGTCTTGTCTACAGATTTGGTGATCAGCTTGCGTTCCGGTATCAATGGCCTTTTTAGCTAATAGGTCAACATGTTCGTTATATTTAAGACCTATATGTGCTTTAACCCACAAAAAATGAACAACTCTTTGGTTTTTATAAATGTCATAAACAAGTTTTTTAATTTGAAAGACATATATATTTGAGTTATTACTAGGAAAATTTAAAGTTTCAATGGCTAACATAACAGACAATGAGTCAGATACTATTGTAACAGATGTATTCTGAGTGTTTTCAAAGTATCTTAGTACTTCATATATTGCTACAGCTTCAGCACTAAAGATTGAAAAACTAGGATTTAGTCGATAAAGTTTTTCTGTATTAGTTGATGGAATGTAGAAAGCACACCCAGTACCAACAATAGACTTTGAGGCATCTGTATAAATAACTAAAGATCTGACAGACTAGATAAACAGGACCTCAAAATATTCGAGCTTACCGAAGAATTTACATGGTAATTCGGTTGTATCACAGTAATGGGTTGCAAGCACGAATAAAAATGTTCGATGTTAAGATTATCCTCTGATTTAAAGTCATAATCAAAATTTGTCAGGCTTCTAAAAGCCTCACAAAGTGGAGGTGAGTTCTTAAGTCTCCAATATCGATTAGTTAAATCTTCTTCGTTCAATTTTCTGATATTTGAGTAGAGAGTAGTGTTACGATTTTGTATATTAATAACAAACTTTTGACTGAGGTATTCTCTTCTATAGCCCAAGGGATTTTCCAGAGCTTCCACATGTAGAGCATTAATTGGCGTCGATTTCATAGCACCTAAACAAATACGCAATGCTGCGTTTTGAAACACGTCTATTGTTTTCAGAATATGTTTACTTGCTGAACCATATAATATGCATCCATAATCGATAATTGATCTAATATAAGATCGGAAGAAAAGCAAAGAAGTTTCCACATCTGCACCCCACCATGTTTTTGTAATTGATTTGAGGAAATTTAGACCCTTCTTACATCTATCCAACATAAACTCAACGTGAAGTTTCCAAGTTAACTTGGAGTAAATAACTAAATATTTAATTGAAGAACTGAAATTAAAATCATACCCATTCAATTTAATTTAATAAACTTTATTTTATTAATTAACAGAATTTTTTTTTTCTAAAACCAAATAAAAAAAGGCAAATACAAAATCTTAATAAATCCTAAATATTTCATGCCTTATTATCTTAATAAATATTAATATGAACCGCGTTATGCATAATTCGACCAAGCGTCACTTTTACCTTTTTGAAAAAAATGAATATAAGTTTATGGCTTTCTTAACGCTTTGACCGCTGTGTGTATCCAAAAGTTTACACACGCGAGGGTCAAAATCGCTGCGTGTATACTTTTAGATACACAAAGTTTTGGTTGGAGTCATATGTATATTCAAAGAGCTCAATACCTATGTATTTCAATGGGTAGTTAACTGATGTGGCTGAATGTACTAAAAATATACTTAACAGCGGGAAATGAAAAAGTTTACATTTTTTTATTACGATTTCTTTACCTATACGTAGGGTGACCATAATTTTTCAACAAAATAAAGTACATTTATAATTTTTAAGAAAATATGTACACTGCTAACGACCTAGGAATTTTTTCTGGTCAAAATTTTACGAATCTTTAATGAAACAATGATAAGAACGATTTTTTTTATTTAAACATAAGTACATAAAAAATGTATGATACATTTTAATAGTTAATTTTCTTTCGACGTTCCTTCCTAAACATCTTGATCATCATTTTGGCACCAGTCGTACTTTTTGGAACTATGAATTTCCTTCAGAAGTTGTGGTTTACTCTTTAAGAACTGAAAATTTCATTGCACGAAACTTTGAAGTTTGTGTAGACTTGCATGATGGCTTCCAGAGTAGATATTTTCAATTGCGATTTGTTGTGACTCCAATAGTTATGATATTTGAGAATAACCGCTCAATCGACTCACTGATTCCAGGCTGACAAAAACAAACTCACATAGAATTTTGAGATGTTCAAAGCACTTTCTTTTTGGAAGATTTTGAGCTATCGATCTTCGGTAGAAATATTTTTAAAATTCCAGTCTGCGATTTTATCTTCTGTAAACGTAGGTTCGTATTAGACTAACTTCATCAAACAGTTCGTCCTGATTCAATATCGGACCTATATAGTCTTGAAAGCCTCACACGACGATAAAATTTCAGCCAAGAAAATAAGAAACTTGTTTGTTCAAGTTAACCCATCCGAATAGTTTTAAGTTCACTTAAATTTTCACTCTAGTTTTTCAAATATGTTACACAATTTGAATAGAACTGCTTGACATGCGTGATAAAGATATCCCGATAGTTCACACTAAGGTCAAGGTCTTCCACATTTTCAAGTTTGAAAGTGATCTCTCATTTAAAGAGGTAAAAATAACTCATTTAAGCGATTTTGAAGCTTTCACTTTAATCCAAAAGCGGCTTTCGTTGCGCATATTTTATCACCATCTACATCTAAAATCACTTTGTGGAAGAGAGTTATGCATAAACCACATCTATGCTTCACTGATTTTGAAAAAACTGTTTTAGAACTGTTGAACAATTATCAATCGATAAAAAATATGCTTTCAAGGGTTCGAACATTTGTATAATTCGTTCAATGGCTGGCATTAGGCTCAAAAATCTTGTTTTCGAAAACATTTTTTTGTACTCGATATCAACAAAATCGCAAAACTGTTTTAGTTTCTCCACTTGGCTGTAAAAATATAAAAATTGTTAAAAATCTTGACCGCGACAACCTCGATGTCTATGGGTAAGACGTCCGTCGCCTTTTGTAAACAGTTATTAAAAATGTGTGCCACACAACAATTCCAATCACGAGTTTACCACGAGAAGCATTTAATTTGCTGAATAGATTGTTCATTCCTTTTTTCTCATTCCACCAAAAATTTTATTTGTATTAATATCACGTAGCTGAAGTCACATAGCTGAAGCATAAGTCACGTAGTTGAAGTAATTTTACTTGGACACCATTTTCTCCATCAAAATATCTTACCATTAAGGGCACAACTTTAATTTCTCTATGATTCGACGAATCGATTGTGATGCTGACAAAATTTGCTTTTCGAAAGTCATTTCTAATTGGGATTGAGCCTCTTGAGCTAAAACATTTTTTACAATCGCCTCAGTCTTGGTTCGAGCTGCCGCAAATTTAGGTTTAAACATGCTTACAATTAGTTTCGACGTGCAGTCTAAGGATCTGAAACTTTGTAAATGCTTAATTGTATGGTAAGCAAAAGTACCTTGCTTGGCAGCAATCTACATATTTTCAGAACTTAAATTTTCTTTTTTAACAAAGGTTTCCAATTTGCTGCTCTTCGAGTTCGCATTAGCAGCCAACATGTTCTTTTTCTTTGACAAATGTTTTATATTATTGCGACCACTATTAGAAATATCACAATCACATTTACAAACTTGGAAAAACACAATATGCGGTGAAACAATTTGATTTTTTTTTTTTTTTTTTTTATTTATTTACGCTGTAACCACCAGGGTTATTAGCGACCTAAATGTAAACTACAGGTACAGTTAGAAAAAAATTACAATAAATGATATAGTCCTGAGTCTTTAAGGTAACTTATTGTGTTTTTAATGTTCATATTTTTTCCTAGGGCTTCCTTCATGTTGTTTGGTATAGTGTGCTTCTTTCTTGCTGTTTCATATTTTTTGCACTGAGTTAGTATATGTTTCACGGAGAGTGTTACTTGACACGTTTCACATATTGGCGGCACAGTTCGCGTAAAGAGGTGTTTATGTGTAAAGTTACTATGTCCTAGTCGCAAACGTGTTATTTTCACTTGATCGTGTCTATTCGCTGTGGGTTGGAGCCACGGTTTCACTAATCGTTTGATTTCTTTTAGTTTATTTTGTGATACACTCCACTTATTTTGCCACGCACTTAACACTTTATGTTTTATTTCTGACCTAAAGTCATCTGAAGGAACCTCATTAATGAGAATGGAGTCCTGGCTGGAGGATGCTAAGCGGGCTAGTTCATCTGCTTCTTCATTTCCTTGTATACCTGAATGTGATGGAACAAACATGAAGTCAACAGTGATCTT